CACTGTCTTCACGTCGTCACTGTCTTCACGTTGTCACCGTCTTCACGTCGTTACTGTCTTCACGTCGTTACTGTCTTCACGTCGTCACTGTCTTCACGTCGTTACTGTCTTCACGTCGTTACTGTCTTCACGTCGTCACTGTCTTCTTGTCGTTACTGTCTTCACGTAGTTACTGTCTTCACGTCGTCACTGTCTTCACGTCGTCACTGTCTTCATGTAGTCACCATCTTCACGTCGTCACTGTCTTCATGTCGTTACTGTCTTCACGTCGTCACTGTCTTCACGTCGTTACTGTCTTCACGTCGTCACCGTCTTCACGTCATTACTGTCTTCACGTTGTCACTGTCTTCATGTCGTTACTGTCTTCACGTCGTCACCGTCTTCACGTCATTACTGTCTTCACGTCGTTACTGTCTTCACGTCGTTACTGTCTTCACGTCGTCACTGTCTTCATGTCGTTACTGTCTTCACGTCGTTACTGTCTTCACGTCGTCACTGTCTTCACGTCGTTACTGTCTTCACGTCGTCACTGTCTTCACGTCGTCACTGTCTTCACGTAGTTAATGTCTTCACGTCGTCACTGTCTTCACATTGTCACCGTCTTCACGTCGTCACCGTCTTCACGTCGTTACTGTCTTCACGTCGTCACCGTCTTCACGTCGTTACTGTCTTCATGTCGTTACAGTCTTCACGTCGTTACTGTCTTCACGTCGTTACTCTCTTCACGTCGTCACCGTCTTCACGTCGTCACCGTCTTCGCGTCGTTACTGTCTTCGCGTCGTCACTGTCTTCACGTCGTCACTGTCTTCACATCGTTACTGTCTTCACGTCGTCACTGTCTTCACGTTGTCACTGTCTTCACGTCGTTACTGTCTTCACGTCGTTACTGTCTTCATGTCGTCACTGTCTTCACATCGTTATTGTCTTCACGTCGTTACTGTCTTCACGTCGTCACTGTCTTCACGTCGTCACTGTCTTCACGTCGTTACTGTCTTCACGTCGTTACTGTCTTCACGTCGTTACTGTCTTCATGTCGTTACTGTCTTCATGTCGTCACTGTCTTCACATCGTTACTGTCTTCGCGTCGTCACTGTCTTCACGTCGTCACTGTCTTCACGTCGTTACTGTCTTCACGTCATCACTGTCTTCACGTCGTCACTGTCTTCACGTCGTTACTGTCTTCATGTCGTTACTGTCTTCATGTCGTCACTGTCTTCACATCGTTACTGTCTTCACGTCGTTACTGTCTTCACGTCGTCACTGTCTTCACATCGTTACTGTTTTCGCGTCGTCACTGTCTTCACGTCGTTACTGTTTTCATGTCATTACTGTCTTCACATCGTCACCGTCTTCACGTCGTCACCGTCTTCACATCGTCACCGTCTTCACGTCGTCACCATCTTCACATCGTCACCGTCTTCACGTCGTCACCGTCTTCACATCGTCACTGTCTTCACGTCGTTACTGTCTTCACGTCGTCACTGTTTTCACGTCGTTACTGTCTTCACGTCGTCACCGTCTTCACGTCGTCACTGTCTTCACGTCGTCACCGTCTTCACGTCGTCACTGTCTTCACGTCGTCACTGTCTTCACGTCGTTACTGTCTTCACGTCGTCACTGTCTTCACGTCGTCACTGTCTTCATGTCGTTACTGTCTTCACGTCGTTACTGTCTTCACGTCGTTACTGTCTTCACGTCGTCACTGTCTTCACGTCGTTACTGTCTTCACGTCATTACTGTCTTCACGTCGTCACTGTCTTCACGTCGTCACTGTCTTCACGTCGTCACTGTCTTCACGTCGTCACTGTCTTCACGTCGTTACTGTCTTCACGTTGTCACTGTCTTCATGTCGTTACTGTCTTCACGTTGTCACCGTCTTCACGTCGTTACTGTCTTCACGTCGTCACTGTCTTCACGTCGTCACTGTCTTCACGTTGTCACCGTCTTCACGTCGTTACTGTCTTCACGTCGTTACTGTCTTCACGTCGTCACTGTCTTCACGTCGTTACTCTCTTCATGTCATTACTGTCTTCACGTCGTCACCGTCTTCCGGTCGTTACTGTCTTCACATTATTACTGTCTTCACGTCGTTACTGTCTTCATGTCGTTACTGTCTTCACGTCGTCACTGTCTTCACATCGTTACTGTCTTCACGTCGTCACTGTCTTCACGTTGTCACTGTCTTCACGTCGTTACTGTCTTCACGTCGTTACTGTCTTCATGTCGTCACTGTCTTCACATCGTTACTGTCTTCACGTCGTTACTGTCTTCACGTCGTCACTGTCTTCACGTCGTCACTGTCTTCACGTCATTACTGTCTTCACGTCGTCACTGTCTTCACGTCGTCACTGTCTTCACGTAGTTAATGTCTTCACGTCGTCACTGTCTTCACATTGTCACCGTCTTCACGTCGTCACCGTCTTCACGTCGTTACTGTCTTCACGTCGTCACCGTCTTCACGTCGTTACTGTCTTCATGTCGTTACAGTCTTCACGTCGTTACTGTCTTCACGTCGTTACTCTCTTCACGTCGTCACCGTCTTCACGTCGTCACCGTCTTCGCGTCGTTACTGTCTTCGCGTCGTCACTGTCTTCACGTCGTCACTGTCTTCACATCGTTACTGTCTTCACGTCGTCACTGTCTTCACGTTGTCACTGTCTTCACGTCGTTACTGTCTTCACGTCGTTACTGTCTTCATGTCGTCACTGTCTTCACATCGTTATTGTCTTCACGTCGTTACTGTCTTCACGTCGTCACTGTCTTCACGTCGTCACTGTCTTCACGTCGTTACTGTCTTCACGTCGTTACTGTCTTCACGTCGTTACTGTCTTCATGTCGTTACTGTCTTCATGTCGTCACTGTCTTCACATCGTTACTGTCTTCGCGTCGTCACTGTCTTCACGTCGTCACTGTCTTCACGTCGTTACTGTCTTCACGTCATCACTGTCTTCACGTCGTTACTGTCTTCACGTCGTCACTGTCTTCACATCGTTACTGTTTTCGCGTCGTCACTGTCTTCACGTCGTTACTGTTTTCATGTCATTACTGTCTTCACATCGTCACCGTCTTCACGTCGTCACCGTCTTCACATCGTCACCGTCTTCACGTCGTCACCATCTTCACATCGTCACCGTCTTCACGTCGTCACCGTCTTCACATCGTCACTGTCTTCACGTCGTTACTGTCTTCACGTCGTCACTGTTTTCACGTCGTTACTGTCTTCACGTCGTCACCGTCTTCACGTCGTCACTGTCTTCACGTTGTCACCGTCTTCACGTCGTCACTGTCTTCACGTCGTCACTGTCTTCACGTCGTTACTGTCTTCACGTCGTCACTGTCTTCACGTCGTCACTGTCTTCATGTCGTTATTGTCTTCACGTCGTTACTGTCTTCACGTCGTTACTGTCTTCACGTCGTCACTGTCTTCACGTCGTTACTGTCTTCACGTCATTACTGTCTTCACGTCGTCACTGTCTTCACATCGTCACTGTCTTCACGTCGTCACTGTCTTCACGTCGTCACTGTCTTCACGTCGTTACTGTCTTCACGTTGTCACTGTCTTCATGTCGTTACTGTCTTCACGTTGTCACCGTCTTCACGTCGTTACTGTCTTCACGTCGTCACTGTCTTCACGTCGTCACTGTCTTCACGTTGTCACCGTCTTCACGTCGTTACTGTCTTCACGTCGTTACTGTCTTCACGTCGTCACTGTCTTCACGTCGTTACTCTCTTCATGTCGTTACTGTCTTCACGTCGTCACCGTCTTCACGTCGTTACTGTCTTCACATTATTACTGTCTTCACGTCGTTACTGTATTCATGTCGTTACTGTCTTCACGTCGTCACTGTCTTCACATCGTTACTGTCTTCACGTCGTCACTGTCTTCACGTTGTCACTGTCTTCACGTCGTTACTGTCTTCACGTCGTTACTGTCTTCATGTCGTCACTGTCTTCACATCGTTACTGTCTTCACGTCGTTACTGTCTTCACGTCGTCACTGTCTTCACGTCGTCACTGTCTTCACGTCGTTACTGTCTTCACGTCGTTACTGTCTTCACGTCGTTACTGTCTTCATGTCGTTACTGTCTTCATGTCGTCACTGTCTTCACGTCGTTACTGTCTTCGCGTCGTCACTGTCTTCTCGTTGTCACTGTCTTCACGTCGTTACTGTCTTCACGTCATCACTGTCTTCACGTCGTCACTGTCTTCACGTCGTTACTGTCTTCACGTCGTTACTGTCTTCATGTCGTCACTGTCTTCACATCGTTACTGTCTTCACGTCGTTACTGTCTTCACGTCGTCACTGTCTTCACATCGTTACTGTCTTCGCGTCGTCACTGTCTTCACGTCGTTACTGTTTTCATGTCATTACTGTCTTCACATCGTCACCGTCTTCACGTCGTCACCGTCTTCACATCGTCACCGTCTTCACGTCGTCACCATCTTCACGTCGTTACTGTCTTCACGTCGTTACTGTCTTCACATCGTCACCGTCTTCACGTCGTTACTGTCTTCACATTATTACTGTCTTCACGTAGTCACTGTCTTCACGTCGTTACTGTCTTCACGTCGTTACTGTCTTCACGTTGTTACTGTCTTCACGTCGTCACCGTCTTCACGTCATTACTGTCTTCATGTCGTTACTGTCTTCACGTCGTCACCGTCTTCACGTCGTTACTGTCTTCACGTCGTCACTGTCTTCACGTAGTTACTGTCTTCATGTCATTACTGTCTTCATGTTGTTACTGTCTTCACGTCGTTACTGTCTTCATGTCATTACTGTCTTCACATAGTTACTGTCTTCACATCATTACTGTCTTCACGTCGCCGCTATCTTGCGATGCCGCGGTCTTAAGTCAAGTTAAAGTTTCAATAAAGAAACCCCTCACCAGTCCATGTCCGAAGTCACTGCACAGGTATGCCCCAGGAGCTTCGTATTCTCACAATAGACGCAAAGCGATCGGCACCGGCCTTCAGGGGGGGGATCGCCATCATCTCACCTTCATCCTCTTCAAGTCTTCGATGGTGAACTGTGGGATGACCACCGTGTCTGCAGAGGCATACCGATCAGCGGACGTGAAGGGAAGGTCAATGGTCGGTTAACGAGGAAAGACGGGGTGATCTCACCATTAATGAGGCGATAACGACACGATATCACTGTTAATGAGGCGATAACGACACGACCTCACCATTAATGAGGCGATAACGACACGATATCACTGTTAATGAGGGAATAACGACACGATATCACTGTTAATGAGGCGATAATGACACGACCTAACAATTAATGAGGCGATAACGACACGATATCACTTTTAATGAGGCGATAACGACACAATCTCACCATTAATGAGGTGATAACGACACGATATCACTGTTAATGAGGCGATAACGACACGATATCACTGTTAATGAGGCGATAACGACACGACCTCACCATTAATGAGGCGATAACGACACGATATCACTGTTAATGAGGGAATAACGACACGATATCACTGTTAATGAGGCGATAATGACACGACCTCACCATTAATGAGGCGATAACGACACGATATCACTGTTAATGAGGCGATAACGACACGACCTCACCATTAATGAGGTGATAACGACACGATATCACTGTTAATGAGGCGATAACGACACGACCTCACCATTAATGAGGTGATAACGACACGATAACACTGTTAATGAGGCGATAACGACACAATCTCACCATTAATGAGGCGATAACGACACGACCTCACCATGGCGGTCACCATGACGGGGGCCATGCCCCCCCCCCCCCCCCGCCGCGCTGATGAACCACATTCTACGTTCCAGCCTACGGGCCTTCAGCAAAGGCCTTAAGCACCGCGGGACTAGACTGCATTATATATAATGTACATACATAATGACATACATTATGTATGTTGATTAACTGTGAATAACCCAACCAATAATAGATATCTATTGTAATGTATATGAATACACTAACCCCCCTCTGGTCTTCTCACCCGATTGGCTCACAAGTAACGACATCACATTTATCCCTCGCCGCTATTTAAGACTGAAACAGGAGGATTACTCCGCAACTCTGGCTATCGCCTGATGAAGCTGGTTGTAATTACCTGCGAAAAGTCAAGGTACTCGAATTGTGAATGTTGTTGTGGGTTTAATCCCTACAACAAGTGCCGAACTGGTAACGTATCGGTGCGTTTTGTTTACATCACAAACCTTAACTAATTTGCTGCGTCGGGTGGTGGTGGCGGGTTTAACGACACATTTATATTCACGCAATCTAACCCCAAACAAACAAAAAGCCTCTTAACGGACGGAGAGGGACGACGTCACCGTGATTTGTGCAACGCACCCCACGTTGTGGCAAGGCAACGGTTGTCATTCATACGGATGGAATTGTCCGGGAGAAAGTGTAACAACGATACGGTGATTCGACACTCGCTGTGCCACAGGGGTCAATGCACGAGGGAGGGGAAGAGGACAAGGAGCAGGAGGAGGTGAGGAGTGGGACGCCACGGTGGCTAGGAGATGTTAACTACCTCACCCGGTATACAGGAGGTTGTGAGTTCGATCCCGATCCTGACGATGCCTGCTGTATATTTGGAGTTTGCGTGTCTCTCTCTCTCTCGGTCTCCCAATGGTCGCGTGGATTTTTCTCCGGGTCCTCTGTTTTTTCCCTCCACATTTAGAATCAACATCACGTGTTTTAGAGTATTTGGCTGCTATAAATGTCCACGCGATGATAAGCCGCTTCGTTGAACTATAATTTGCGAAAGCCAGAAAAAAAGAGCTTGACAGCTCTGTGAGCCTTACACTTAAAGTAAAAATTTGTTCAGTTAATTAATGAAAGAATATATGTGGGATTGGAGGGAGGGAGGAGGAGGGAGGAGGAGGGAGAGGAGGAGGGGGAGAAGGAGGAGGGGGAGTAGGAGGAAGGGGAGGAGGGGGAGTAGGAGGAGGGGGAGGAGGGAGCACCTCTCTTGCGCTCCGTGCCATGGCTGTCCTGCTCGCAGTAGTAGGATGAGGCCGAGTGCTTCAGCTCGGAGCTGCTCTGTGGCGTGACGCTCGCCCGCACCGGCGTGACGCCGCCACGGCTGTCGCTCCTCAGCGTGCCGCCACTCGGTATGTCCAGGATGTCGCTCTGTATGCCCAGGTACAAGACAAAGAGAAAGATCTCCCGTATAGACTCAACAGACTGTTGGGACAAGTGCTTTTAGCGAGTAGCACCTGTGAAGGCCAGAATGGCACTCGAGGGGGTAGGTAGCAAGCACCACGCCTGGCCGCCTTTGTCTCCCCAGTGACGATATTTACAAACTGTACCAGGTACTCATTTGAGGCTGAGTCAATCTAGGGGAGGCTCAGGACCGGTTCTGATAATCGTCACTCGTGTTGGCCGTGAGCAGGAAATGAACTCGAGTCTCCGGATTTGTAGCACAGCGCGCTCACCGCTACACTACCGCTTCCCACACACACACACCACACACTCTCTCACACACACACACGTGCGCGCACACATAAAAACCTCCGTATAGCCTTAACACACACGCACACACACACACACACATGCACACACACATGCACGTGCTCTCGGGGAGGGGTGCCGCGTGGGTGATGGCCACGTGATGCGAGCGCGTGGACGTTGCGATGACGACCGCCCCAGTGAGGAGGACTCCCCGGTGAGGACTCCCCGGTGAGGACTCACCGCCTCGATGCCCATCGCTTTCATCTGGTTCGCCCGCTTCTCAGCCAGCGAGAGGTACTTCTTCGGGTCGGACAGCGCATCCACGAAATCTGGAACACGCGCAAACGCCATCACCCAACAGCGTTACCACGGCAATGCCACCGCCCAACAGCATTAACCATGGCAACGCCACCGCCCAACAGCGTTACCATGGCGATGCCACCGCCCAACAGCGTTAACCACGGCAACGCCACCGCCCAACAGCGTTACCATGGCGACGCCACCGCCCAACAGCGTTAACCATGGCGACGCCACCGCCCAACAGCGTTAACATGGCGACGCCACCGCTCAACAGCGTTAACCATGGAGACGCCACCGCCCAACAGCGTTACCACGGCAACGCCACCGCCACCCAGGCTGGTCCCGTGGCTCAGCTCACACCCGACCAGCGCGACGTCGCCCCTCCGCGCCCTCCATGTCCGCGCCCGCTTGTGCCCTCACCTCCCAGCCCGTCGGGGACGTAGGTCTTGAGGACGATGTCGCAGAAGACGGTGGGCAGGGAGAGGTGCTTGTTGCCCTCGTTGCGGAGGGAGATGTGCCGGTAGCCCGTCTGCAGGCCGTCCAGCGGCAGGATGCGCTGCCCGATGAGCTTGTTGTTCTCGTCGTACACGGCGATCCGCAGCACCGCCAGGTCCGGCAGGATCACCTGCGCTCACGAGGAGGGATCAACCCACAGAGATCTCCCGCTGGCTCGGGTGAGCCGCGTCGAGGCACCGGTGGCTCATCTCCCATTTACAGGCCTCAACCGGGGATGGAAATTCGATGTTCCGGTGGCCGGGGGTGGGGGGGGGGGCGAGTCCGTACAGAGGGCATTCATCTAGCTGCTGCGCACGAGCAGAATTCATCGCTCCAACTCCGCGGTGGACGTCCTCTTGGGCGCGTATCTCTCTCCGTCGTTAGTCTCGACTGCCGGCCGCTGTGTTCCCCCTCGGCGTGGCGTGAGCAACCCCGGGGCCCCGCCAGCGACCCACGAGCCCAGCTAGCATGTGATTAACTCTGGTGTGTTTTCTTATTATTATAGCTGTGGGAGGAAACTGGAAAACCCGGATGGAAACCCCGTGGAGAATAGAGAAGGGGTGGGAGTGAGAGAGAGAGAAGGTGCAAACTTCACGCAGAGAGGCGCCCCCAAAGCAGGAATCGGAAACCCAGGGTCGTCCTTCTTTGCTGCCGAGGCGCAAGAGTGCGACCGCCGCACGCTGCCGCCACCCACCCTGTCGCTCTCGAATCTCAACTCAATCGAAAACTCAACGACGGGGAGGGGGGGCGAGGCATGGGGGGGGGGGGCACCTTGCGGAAGACGAACGGCTCCTCGCTGTAGGCCGGGTTGAGGCCGTTGTTGAGGACCATGCGTGTCCGGAACTCCTTGCGGATGGTGTCCGTGGGTAGGCCGTACATGTCCACCTCCACGTACGTGCCCACCTTCTTGTCCGACAGGAACTGTCCCGAGATGATCTGTCCAGTAACCACGCACAATCCCCCCCCCCCGCCCGCCCGCGCCCGCAAGGTCAAACCTCGCAAGCTGCCCGCCCGCCCGTAGCTGCGGGCGACTTTGTGCACTACGTGTAGAGACAAAGACAAAGATCCCCCCCCCCGTGTAGCCTTAAGCAGACTGTTGGGGCAAGTGCTGTTAGCGAGCATCTATGAAGGCCGGCAACGGCACACCAGGGGGTGGGTGGCCAACTCCACGCCCGGCCGCCTTTGTCTCCCAAGTGGCGATATTTACACGCCGCACCAGGTACTTAAGCTAGGCTGACTCGACCTAGGGAAGGCCCAGGACCAGTTATGTTGATTGTCACTGGTGTTGGACGTGAGCGGGAATCGAACCCGGGTAGCCAGGTTCGTAGCGCAATGCGCTAACCACTAGGCTGCACGCAGTGACACATACAAAGGTCCCCCGTATAACCTTAACATACTGTTGGGGCAAGTACTGTTAGCGAGCACCTATCGAGGCTGCATTTGTTTTCCGAGTGGCAATGTTTATACATCGCACCAGGCAATCATTTGAGGCTAAGTCAACCGGTACAAATAATCGTCACCAGTGTCGGCTGTGAGCCCGTTTTAGAGAGAATCAAACTCGGGCTGTTAGGTTCGTAGTGCAGGTTACTAACCGCTTCGCTACTGCACCCCCCATACGGCGACAAAACACACACATTGACACACACGAAGTGACACGCAGTGACACACACCCTGACACGCAGTCACACATTACTCAGTGACACACACCGTGGCACACCGTGACACACACTACTCAGTGACACACACCATGACACCCAGTGACACACCCGTGGCTCGCAGTGACACATTACTCAGTTTCAAGTTTCAAGTTTTCAAGTTCAAGTTCATTTATTTGGTATAGCCCGGTGAGCCATTCGGCTCTTGAATCGGGTGCAACCGCAACAAACAAAAAACTAAAACATGAACAATAAAACATCTTAGAGTGACTATGTGACTAAGTGCAAACAGAAAAAAATTTCAGAAAAAAGCACCGTACACCAACGCCGTGTGCAAAAATCCCAGTGGGATGCAAGTCAAACAACAACAAGCACAAAACAACTTAGATGAAGGCCATCAACCTAACTCCGTACTACAACAAACAAACATGGCCAAACCAAACACACTGTGACACACACAGTGACACACGACTCAGCAACACCCGGTGGACACTCGCCTGCACGGAGCACGTGGCGGCGATGACGCCGTCCACCGGCGTCTCGGAGAACGGGTCGAACGTGCGGTCGGGGCGGCGCATGAAGTCCGGCTTCAGGAGAAATCTGCAGCAGGCCGCACACGGCGGTTACAGCGGGACAGGGGTCTGCCCGTGCAGCCTACGCACACCCTCGGAGCAAGCGTGGTCAGCGAGCACCTATTGGGGCGACAACAATGGTGGTGGCGGTGGAGGGGATTGTGGTGGTGGTGATGGTGGTATTGGTGGTAGGGGGCATAGGTGGTGCATCGGCCGGTCATCTCGGTGAGGCAACCCGTGGCACCTGGGTCTGTGGTAGAGCTCGTGGGCCAGCGGGCGTTCGACACTTCACGTGGCCTCAACGTGCACACAGCCTGGCACGAGCGCCGTGGTGACGTCACCGCCACTTAGTGGCGATTGGCGGTTGTTGTTGTTGGCATTGATGGTGGAATGGAGAGCCATGGTGTAGTAGTTGATAGCGCCCTGCGCTACAAACCCGGGGACCCGAGTTAGATTCCTGCTCATGACCAACACCAGAATCTAAACCGGTCATGGACCTCCCCTAGGTCGACTCAGCCTTAAATGAGTACTTGGTGTGGTGTGTAAATATCACCACCACGGAGACAAAGGAGGGTAGGAGTGGTGTTGGCCACCCACATGTGCCTGCCTGCCTTCATAGGTGCTACTCACGAACAGCACTTACTCCAACAGTCTGTTAGGGCTATACGGGGGATCGTTGGAAGAAGAGGTGGTGATGGTGGTGTTGGTGATGGTGGTAGCGAACGTGGTCGTGGTCATGGTGGAGGTGGTTGTGGTCATGGTGGAGGTGGTTGTGGTCATGGTGGAGGTGGTTGTGGTCATGGTGGAGATGGTTGTGGTCATGTTGGAGGTGGTTGTGGTCATGGTGGAGGTGGTTGTGGTCATGTTCGAGGTGGTTGTGGTCATGTTGGAGGTGGTTGTGATTGTTATTCGTTCACTAACCCGCAGGAGCCATTGTACTCAAACTTTCCCTGGTTCAGCTGCATGGCCAGGTCTGGGGAAACAAAGGCATCGATGGCACACGTGGGAACACAAGGTGGGGTCACAAGATCGGAACACAAGGTGGCGACACAAGGTGGGGACACAAGGTGGGGACACAAGGTGGGGCCACAAGGTGGGGTCACAAGGTGGGGTCACAAGGTGGGAACACAAGGTGGCGACACAAGGTGGGGTCACAAGGTGGGAACACAAGGTGGCGACACAAGGTGGCGACACAAGGTGGCGACACAAGGTGGGGTCACAAGGTGGGGTCACAAGGTGGAGACACAAGGTGGCGACACAAGGTGGAGACACAAGGTGGAGACACAAGGTGGGACCACACGGTGGCGACACAAGGTGGGGTCACAAGGTGGCGACACAAGGTGGCGACACACGGTGGAGACACAAGGTGGCGACACAAGGTGGAGACACAAGGTGGAGACACAAGGTGGGACCACACGGTGGCGACACAAGGTGGGGTCACAAGGTGGAGACACAAGGTGACGACACACGGTGGAGACACAAGGTGGAGACACAAGGTGGGACCACACGGTGGCGACACAAGGTGGGGTCACAAGGTGGCGACACACCATGACGTTCCTGCAGGAGGCTCTACACGAGGGTAACTGTTGGCAGACTGCCCAAGCTCGTTCAAGTCACAACACGGGGGGGCGAGGGGGGGGCGAGGGGGGGCGGGGGGGCGAGGGGGGGCGGGGGGGCGAGGGAGGGCGGGGGGGGCGAGGGGGGGCGAGGGGGGGCGAGGGGTGGCGAGGGGAAGGCGAGGGGGGGCACGTTCAATTTATTGCAGCCAGTGTTCTGTTCGCAATGTGCACGTGATACTTGGCCATTAAGGCATCAGATGGGGAGGGGAATCACAGGTCACTGGCTCTGCCCACTACTCAGGCAGCCCCGCCCACTACTCAGGTAGCCCCGCCCACTACCCGAGTAGCCCCGTCCACTACTCAGGTAGCCCCGCCCACTACTCAGGTAGCCCCGCCCACTGCTCAGGTAGCCCCGCCCACTACTCAGGTAGCCCCGCCCACTACCCGGATAGCCCAGCCCACTACCCGCGTAGCCCCGCCCACTACCCGAGATGCCCCGTCCACTACTCAGGTAGCCCCGCCCACTGCTCAGGTAGCCCCGCCCACTACTCAGGTAGCCCCGCCCACTACTCAGGTAGCCCCGCCCACTACTCAGGTAGCCCCGCCCACTACCCGGATAGCCCCGCCCACTACTCGGGTATCTCCGCCCACTACTCGGGTGGCCCGCCCACTACCCGCGTAGCCCCGCCCACTACCCGAGATGCCCCGCCCACTACCCGCGTAGCCCCGCCCACTACACGGGTATCTCCGCCTATTACTCGTGTGGCCCCGCCCACTACCCGCGTAGCCCCGCCCACTGCCCGCGTAGCCCCGCCCACTACCCGCGTAGCCCCGGACACTACCCTGCAAGGATTTATGAGTCCAGGATGAGGCGAAACATCTTGAAATCATGAAGAAAATTCGGACGTTTTCAGAAACATTGCATAGGGGACACTGGGATGGCCTGAAACCAACCGGAGACCATCCCAGGCAAACGGGAACCTTTAGAAGCTTCATTCGCGAGAGGAGTTTGGAGTTTGGATCTGTCTAAGCGACGTGATTGTCGAATCATGCTCGTTTACCCAGGAAAGTCTCACAGAGCCTCAAGAGTTTTGCTTTTTGTTCAGGAGCATCCGGCAAAGTTTCACAGTCGTGGGGCACGATGCAAATATTGTTTCAAAGTTGGAAAATTCGAACCGTGACTCCTGGACACACTGGGCCTACGTACTCGTCTTCGAACGACATGGAGTGTCCACTTGTGAGCGAAGCGGACGGCATTGCGAAGCATTGTACGGTTGTTATTACGTGCTCCGTGCACCATTAACCAGGGCGGGCGGCCTGCCGGATCCATACCTGCCAACCCCTTATCAGTGCCCCACCACATTATTACAGACCAATCCAGACCGTATTGGTCACCCCTTGCCCTTATACATCTCAACGTTCATCCTACAAAGTCCCATCAAAAGGAGAAACACAAACAAATAGACAAAAAAAATATGTTGCCCGTATTGAAACGGCTGTACACCGTATGCACTTGACAACTCAATTTCCCTGTACAACAATACAGGTAAACTGTACGGGTTGACAGGTATGCGGATTGGAGGCTCCGCAAAAAGCGGGCAAACCGCGCTACCCTCCGGGGTGTCCGGGATCCCGTGGGGTCAGGAGAGTGAGTGGAGCTGAGTGGTGGGGCGAGTTGGAGGTGGCGGCACGACCGGCTCACCGGGGCTCTGGAAGTTGAGCGACACCATCTGGCAGCCGGCGTTCCAAAAGATCTGCGGCATGTAGTTGGAGGAGTCGACACGGCCTCCCTTGGGGTAGATGCGGCTCATCTGCCGCTTGTTGTAGCTGACGGGCGCGTTAAGGGTGAAGTTGACCTCGCTCACATTTCATTCTGACCTGGTGCTGACCTCCCGCGGATTTCATTCAGTCGGACCTGACCCCAACCTCCCACTCCCTCTGATTTCATTCTGACCTGGCGCTGACCTCCCACTCCAATTTAATTCGGCCAGCACCGACATCACTGGGGTGGACAGCAATGGCGCACGTGGTGAGCACGCTGTCGCCATGAACCCGGCCGCCTGAGTTTGATTCCTGGGCACGGCTAACAACGGTGGTGGGTGACATCAAAACCAGTCTGGGGCTCCCCCACCCACATTGTTTACCGTCCTTCGGTCGAGGCGGCGCCTTGCCACCATCCGGCCGATGCGCCCCCCCCCCCCTCTCCCATCGCTGGAGTTCCACGAGCTCTACCACAAGATCTGCCCACGCACCGAGATCGAGGAGTTCTTCGGGAAGCTGTGAGATCATCTCGGGCACACCCACCGCCCCCCCCTCCCGCACCCCCCCCCCCCCCGCAACCCCCCATACTGCAGTATTAAGTGGAGTGGGGGACTTGCCGGATTCGGACAGCGAAAACCTTCGCCGGCGACGACCGGTGGCAAATGCGCGGCCACCGGGGGTCACCGACCCGGAACTCCGTTTCCTCTACCCTGGGACTTCTCCGACGGTGACCGCGACTCACCGGGGAGGAGGGGGGGGGTGAAGGATACTTGACGAACTCAATGGGATGAGTCTTGAGGTAGCCGAGCCCCACCGACTCGCTGAACGACGACATGTTGTGGTGGATGTTCCGCTCTGCGGGGCACCCGGGCACACATGAACACACACACGCGTACACACTCACGCGTACACACACACACACGCACACGTAGACACGCACACACACATCTCTCTCTCTCCACCTCTCTCTCTCCACCTCTCTCTCTCCACCTCTCTCTCTCCACCTCTCTCTCTCCACCTCTCTCTCTCTCCACCTCTCTCTCTCCACCTCTCTCTCTCCACCTCTCTCTATGCTCACCCTCGGCAACGTCGAAGCCCTGGAACTTGATGGGCTGTGCGTAGTTGACCATGGCCGACAAGTAGGGGTGGATCTTGGTGGTGCCACCCACGTACTTGTAGGTGGAGATGAAGGCCTGCTCGTCCTCCACCGACACGCAGGCCTGCCCCAGCGATAACCACGGCAATACAACGTCACGCAGACAGCGCCACGCTGCCTCACACGGACAGAGTGATACTGTGTCTCCCTACATCTCTCCCCATTCTCAAGCCATCTCTCCCCCTCTCTTCCCCCCTCTCCCCATCTCTACCCTTCTCTACAAATCTCTACACATATCTACAAATCTCTCCCCGTCTCTCCCCATTCTCTAGCCATCTCTACCCCTCTTTCCCCCTCTCCCCATCTCTACCGTTCTCTACCCATTTCCAGCTATCTCTCACCATCTCTAAATATCTCTCCCATCTCCCTGTCTCCCCATTCTCTAGCTCTCTCCCCATTATCTAGCTCTCTCTCCCCTCTCTCCCCATCTCTCTCCATCTCTCTGCGTCTCTTCGCTAGGCCACTGGGCTGTCTTGCGTGGCGCGCCCGGGTTCCCGCGCGCCCTTCGCAAAGGCGGCATGTGTGCTCTCACCTTCTTCTCGTGATCCACCTCCTCCATGACCTGGCAGCAGTCAAGGTGAAGAGAAACACCCAGGTGAGTATCACAGGGAGACCACCCTCACCTCACCTGGCGAGATGGGGCTACAGTGTGACACAGGTGAGGGTGAACGAGTGATGCAGGTGAGGGTAATAGTGAGCCAGGTGAGGGTGAGCGTAACCTAGGTGAGGGTGAGGCAGGTGAGGGTGAGCCAAGTGAGAGTGAGAGTGACCCAGGTGAGGAGTCTCACCTTGCGGAGAATCACCGACTTGCTGCTGCTCAGGCTGCTGCTGGAGCGTTCCTTGACGATCGCCGCCGCCGCCGCCGCCTCCACCACCGCGGCCGCCACCACCGTCAACTCCGCGCCGAACTTCAGCTCGGGGTGGGCCTCATCCTCCGGCTCGACTGACACGCGCGCACACCGCCGAGAATTCGGTTCCCCCGCTTTAGCGACCGCCGAGAGCGGTGGGTGGATCCGAACCGGTCCCGGGGCCTACCGCTAGGTCGAATCGGCCTCGAATCAGTACTCGGGCATGGTGTGTAAGCATCGCCGCTGTGAGATGAAGGCAGCCAGGTGTGGTGGTGGGCACCCGCACCCACGTACGCCGTACTAGCCCACACAGAGGTGATTGCAACCCCCACTTGCCCTTCAAAAGTCTGTCAAAGGCTGCACAGGGGAGCTTTGCGTTTGTGCGGGGACCTTCATTACTGTGAGCAGGTCCGGGTAAAGCTGCATGGCAGGGAGTCGGGGCCATGTCCTGTTCACCTTGGGGTGTGATGAGGATGTGTATGAGTACGTGTGTGCGTGTGTGTGAGTACGTGTATGTGTCAGGTAAAACAACCCCTACCTCCTTGTGGTGCCGGACGGGCAACGCTGTCGTGGACAGTGCCGTGGGGGGAGGGCCAATTCCGATAGGCCTTTCCCCTCATGGCGTCTGTAACCACCACAGCGGACAAATGGGGGCTCTGGACAGGAGCGAGGGGCTGGTAGCCCCTCCACCTTCAATGAATTACCACTAAACCACGACCAAAAAACATAATAAATAAGCATGTGACTTCTCCTGGCCAAACCCCATTTGGCGGAGCCAGGAGACTGAATCCTTACCCTAAGGGCTCCTCCAGAAAAACAAAAACCACTACGTGTGGCCACGTGGAGGAGAGGCTGCCACTCCTCTGTCGGGAGCTGGACCGGTACCGCCTGGATCTCTGTGACATTCAGGAGGTCCGGTGGACCGGCTCTGGCTCCTGCCACCATGAGGGGTGGACAGTCCTCTACTCGGGACAGGAGACTGCCAAACAACAGGATGTAGCTCTTCTTCTGAATGAAATAATGAAGGGGGCATGGGAGCATGGCGGTGAGGTGTGGGAAGCTGTAAGCCCCAGGCTATTATGGGTTTGCCTTCCCATCAACCAGAGGCGAGGAATGGTGGTTGTGGTTAATTATGCCCCACTGAAGACGAACATCCATGGAAAGATGCAGGGAAGGCCGATGAGTCAGATGCTTTATATGACTTCCTGTCACAGATGCGAGCTAAAGTGGCCCCTCGGGATTGAGTCATCTTGTTGGGTGACTTCAATGCCTGAGTTGGTCATGATGCTGGCACCTGGTCTGGAGTAATTGGAAGGCATGGGCCAGATCAGCTCAATAACAACGGTAGCAGGCTGCTAGATTTTTGTGCAGCCCATGGGCTTGTAATTACCAACACGCTGTTCCGGCATTGGCACATCCACACCACATCATGGATGCATGCCGGGTCCAAGCAAGAACATCTGATGGACTACATAGTGACGGAACAGCGGATGCGGGCCCATGTCCTTGACACCAGGACCTACCGTGGAGCTGATCTGCCCCACTGATCATCGAGCGGAGCGCCAGGTGTGTGAGTACGTGTGTGTGTGTGAGTACGTGTGTGTGAGTACGTGTGTGTGTGTGTGTGTAAGTAAGTGTGTGTGTGTGTGAGTACCGGTCTCTCCCTCATCCTCCGCCTCCTCCTCCAGGATGCTCGCCTGAGCCATGGGGTCTCCCTCCGTCAACAGGCAGAATGCCTCCAACTGCTCTGCATCATCATCACCATCAACACACCGCCGCCATCACCAATATTATCATCACCATCGGCTCCGGCTCCATGAACGTCATAGCCATCATTATCACCATCACCGACATCATCGCCATCGCACTGCTGCCATCATCATGAACATCGACACTGTTGCAGGTCATCGGCATCGCCATCATCATTACCAACACAATCACTATCATCATCACAATCTATCATCCAGTCAATAATCATGACCATTACCACCACAATCACGATGACAGGGACCACCTCCGCCGCACGCGTCACACTTACTGGACTCCACCTCAGGCCGCAGGCGCTTGTTCTTGATGAGGATTTTGTAACGGAGGTCGTTGGGCGAGGGCAGAGGTCGCCCCGACTCCAGCTGCACAGTGAGGACAACGACGACAACAACAACAATAATAAAAACGACGAAAGCAAAAACAACAATGACAACAACAATGACAACAAAGACAACAATGACAACGACGAAAACAAAGACAACAACGACAACGACGAAAACAAAAACAACAACGACAAGAACAATAACAACGACGACAATGACAATGCTAATAACAACAATAATGACATCAGCAAGGGCAATAACGACGGCGTGGGCTTCACCACTGACACACGGAGAGCCCGGCCGCACGCACGCGTACCCACGTGTACCCACCCATGCACGCACATGCACGCACACGCACGCACGCAGGCACACATGCGCGTCCATGAGGTACCCGGGTCACGACCACGGTCGCCCCGCCATCTCACCGGGTGTCCTTCCAGCGGCTCCTTGAGGAGGAAATCTCCAAAGATCTCCTCGCAGTAGCGCGCCATCTTGTACTGCTGCGGCTTGCTGCGCGGGGGGGAGGGCACGCAATCAGACAGCGACGTGGGCGTCACACACAGACACACACGGGCGTCACACACAGACACACGTGGGCGTCACACAAAGACACACGTGGGCGTCACACACAGACACACGCGGGCATCACACACAGACACACGTGGGCGTCACACACAGACACACACGGACGATACACAAAGACACACACGGACGTTACACACAGACATACACGGACGTTACACACAGACACACACGGGTGTCACACACAGACACACACGGATGTCACACACAGACGTCACACACAAACACGTGGGCATCACACACAGACACACGCGTGGGCGTCACACACAGACACACGTGGGCATCACACACAGACACACGCGTGGGCGTCACACACAGACACACGTGGGCGTCACACACAGACACACGCAGGCGTCACACACAGACACACGTGGGCGTCACACACAGACACACGTGGGCGTCACACACAGACACACACGGACGTTACACACAGACACACACGGACGTTACACACAGACACACACGGACGTTACACACAGACACACACGGGTGTCACACACAGACACACACGGATGTCACACACAGACACACGCGGGCGTCACACACAAACACGTGGGCATCACACACAGACACACGCGTGGGCGTCACACACAGACACACGTGGGCATCACACACAGACACACGTGGGTGTCACACACAGACACGCGTGGGCGTCACACACAGACACACGTGGGTGTCACACACAGACACACGTGGGTGTCACACACAGACACACGTGGGCGTCACACACAGACACACGTGGGCGTCACACACAGACACACGTGGGCGTCACACACAGACACACGTGGGTGTCACACACAGACACACGTGGGTGTCACACACAGACACACGTGGGCGTCACACACAGACACACGTGGGTGTCACACACAGACACACGTGGGCGTCACACACAGACACACGTGGGCATCACACACAGACACACGTGGGTGTCACACACAGCCACACGTGGGCGTCACACACAGACACACGTGGGCGTCACACACAGACACACGTGGGCGTCACACACAGACACACGTTGGCGTCACACACAGACACACGTGGGCGTCACACACAGACACACGTGAGCATCACACACAGACACACGTGGGTGTCACACACAGACACACGTGGGCGTCACACACAGACACACGTGTGCGTCACACACAGACACACGTGGGCGTCACACACAGACACACGTGGGCGTCACACACAGACACACGTGGGCGTCACACACAGACACACGCGGGCGTCACACATAGACACACGCGTGGGCATCACACACAGACACACGCGGGCGTCACACACAGACACACGTGGGCGTCACACACAGACACACGTGGGCGTCACACACAGACACATGTGAGCATCACACACAGACACACGTGGGTGTCACACACAGACACAAGTGTGCGTCACACACAGACACACGTGGGCGTCACACATAGACACACGTGTGGGCGTCACACACAGACACACGAGGGCGTCACACACAGACACACGAGGGCGTCACACATAGACACACGTGTGGGCGTCACACACAGACACACGTGGGCGTCACACACAGACACACGTGGGCGTCACACACAGACACACGTGAGCATCACACACAGACACACGTGAGCATCACACACAGACACACGTGGGTGTCACACACAGACACAAGTGTGCGTCACACACAGACACACGTGGGCGTCACACACAGACACACGTGGGCGTCACACACAGACACACGTGGGCGTCACACACAGACACACGTGGGCATCACACACAGACACACGCGGGCGTCACACACAGACACACGTGGGCGTCACACACAGACACAGGTGGGCGTCACAGACAGACACACGTGGGCGTCACACACAGACACACGCGTGGGCGTCACACACAGACACACGTGGGCGTCACACACATACACACGTGGGTGTCACACACAGACAAACACGGGCGTTACACACAGACGTCACACACACGTGGGCATCACACACAGACAAACACGGGCGTCACACAGACAAGCACAGGCGTCACACACAGACACACGTGAGCATCACACACAGACACACGTGGGTGTCACACACAGACACCCGCGGGCATCACACACAGACACACGTGGGTGTCACACACAAACACACGTGGGCGTCACACACAGACACACGTGGGTGTCACACACAGACACACGCGGGCGTCACACACAGACACACGTGGGCGTCACACACAGAAAACACGGGCATCACACACAGACGTCACACACACGTGGGCATCACACACAGACAAACACGGGCGTCACACAGACAAACACAGGCGTCACACACAGACACACGTCAGCATCACACACAGACACACGTGGGTGTCACACACAGACACCCGCGGGCATCACACACAGACACACGTGGGTGTCACACACAGACACACGCGGGTGTCACACACAGACACACGTGGGCGTCACACATGAGGGCCTCACCAATAGTAACAACAACCGCCATTCACCACTAAGTGGCGGTGACGTCATCACGACGCTTATGCCAGGCTATGTGCACCTTGAGGTCACATGAAGTGTCGAACGCCCGCTGGCAGGAGGTCACGGGGCAGACCCAGATGCCACAGATCGACTGAGAGGACTGGCTGATACACCACCTGTGCCCCCTACTGTGCCAACTTGCTGTGCTTTAGCCACCCGGCGCTCCGTTCGTTGTTGTGAGCGTCGCTCCTCCTGCCTCCATTGTTGTTGCAGGGCGACTGCCTCTAACTGCTCAGTAGCGTCCTTCACGAACCTCCTCCACAGAGGCCGATCTTGACACCGCTGGTAGCAGTCATGGGCAAGTCCACTCAGCTTCACATCCTCCTGTACCACATCACTCCATCTCTTCTCTAGCCCGTGCCGCGCCCCTTTTGCCCCCTCGATCTGGCCGAACAAAAGCTGTTTAGGCATGCGGTGAATGGGCATGCGGGCTACATGGCCCAGCCAACGCAGCCTTGCCTGCCGGAGGAGCTCACCGATGGGACTTTGTCCAGATCTATCAATGATTTGTGAGCTCCTCACACAATCCAGCCTGATTAAACCCAAGGATGGATCGTAGGCAGGCCAGCCAAAATGTTCTCACCGGCAAAGATGTTCCATTAGGGGGGTCCACGTTTCGCAAGTGTAGAGAAGGGAGGGAATGACTGGCCGAGAAAACCTGAAGCTTTGTGTGGAGCGACAGACCAGGTAGCTTCCACACAGCATACTTCCTCAACAGATGGCACCTCAGCCAGCCGCTCACAGGGAGTGACTTCCTCTTCCGCAACCTCAGAAGAAGAGCCACTCCCTGTTGTTTGGCAGTCTCCTGCCCTGAGAAGAGGACTGTCAACCCCTCATGGTGGCAGGAGCCAAAGCCGGTCCACCGGACCTCCTGAATACCACAGAGATCCAGGCGGTACCGCTCCAGCTCCCGACAGAGGAGTGGCAGCCTCTCCTCCGCAGTGAGCGTTTGAACATTCCACGTGGCCACATGTAGTGGTTTTTTGTTGTTTCCGGAGGAGACTCGAGGGTAAAGATTCAGTTTCCTGGCTCCGCCAAATGGGGTTTGGCCAGGAGACGTCATAGACGCCTGTCCCCCCAGGGCCTCCGGCACAGGCTTATTTATTACATTTGTCGTCGTGGTTTAGTGCTAATTAATTGAAGGTGGAGGGGTTACCAGCCCCTCGCACCCGTCCAGAGCCCCCATTTGGCCGCTGTGGTGGTTACAAATGCCATGAGGGGAAAGGCCAATCGGAATTGGCCCTCCCCCTACAGCACTGCCCACGACAACGTTGCCTGTCTGGCACCACGAGGAGGTAGGACCACACATATGGGCGGGTGTCACACACACCCGTAGCCCGCGGGATTAGTGAGTAGAGGTTCTAGGGGGCAGTAGTTTTAGAGGACGGAGGTTCTAGAGGACGGGGGTTGTTGTTGAGGGCACCTGCAGTGGTTCTCGAAGGACAGGATGACCGGGTAGATGGACGTCACGAACGCCGTCTCCTTGATGGCCTGGATCACCTCCTGTGGGGACGCAAACACACGCGCACGTGCACACACAAAAATGCAAAGAGAAAGATCCCCCGTGTAGCCTTAACAGACTGCTAGGGCAAGTGCTGTTAGCGAGCAGCACCTATGAAGGCCGGTACGGCACACGAGGCAGTGGGTGACCAGCACCACGCCCCGCCGCTCTGTCTCCCCAGTGGCGATGTTTACACACCACACCAGGTCCTCATTTGTGGCTGAGTCGACCTAGGGGAGGCCTAGGACTGGTTCAGATAATCGTCACTGGTGTTGGCCATGAGCGGGAATCAAATTCGGGTGGCCGGGTTTGTAGTGCAGCGCGCTAACCGCTACCACTCGCTCCACACACACACGTGTATACACACACACACGTGTACACACACACACACACACGTGTACACACACACACGTGTACACACACATGTGCTGCGGGGGTCCACGTGTGCATTGACGCTGTGCCCCACGGTACCTTGAAGAGGATGTCGGTGCACATGGCCTTGCCGTGCGTGATGATTGGCTCCTGGTCCTCCCCCTTCCCATCCCAACAGTCCAGCTCCACGCACCTGCACACAGAGTAACATGGGGAACACACGGGGAGAGATGTTAACTACCTCGCCTGGTATACAGGAGGTCGTGGGTTCGATCTTGACCCTGACGTCTGCTTTATATTTGGAGTTTGCATGTCTCGCGTGGATTTTTCTCCGGTTCCTCCGGTTTTCCCCTAAAAAAATTTGAATCAACATCCACACGTTTAGATTATTTATCTGCTATACATTTCCACCTGAAGATAGTCAATTTCGTTGAGCTATCATTCGTGATGGCCATGGTCGCTTCTGAAAAAGAAGCTATATATAGCTCAGTGGACTTTACACCGGCAATAAAATACAAATCTAGTTTAGTAGTTTACATATACACATATAGCCTATAGAAGAGTCGGTCAGTCATAGGCAGAGGAGAAGAGGAAGGCCTTGAGCCAGGACTTGCGCAGGGGCAGGGAGCCGACAGCATGGACGGCAGGTGGGGGGGGGGAGGAGTGGATGACGTTGACTCGGGGATGTTCGACAAGAGGCCTCTGGTTGCCGGATCGGATATAATCATTTGGACAGAGGGGCGCGTGTGCTGACCGCGCGCACTAATCGCACTGCGTGGCGACGGCGGTGGCCCTTGCCAGTGGCCGTGTCGGTGGCCGTGTCGGTGGCCTTGTCGGTGGCCTTGTCGGTGGGCTTGTCGGTGACCTTGTCGGTGGCCGTGTCGGTGGGCCATGTCGGTGGCCGTGTCGGTGGCCGTGTCGGTGGCCGTGTCGGTGGCCTTGTTGGTGGCCGTGTCGGTGGGCCGTGTCGGTGGCCGTGTCGGTGGCCGTGTCGGTGGGCCGTGTCGGTGGCCGTGTCGGTGGCCGTGTCGGTGGCCTTGTCGGTGGCCTTGTCGGTGGGCCTTGTCGGTGGCCTTGTCGGTGGCCGTGTCGGTGGCCGTGTCGGTGGCCTTGTTGGTGGCCGTGTCGGTGGCCTTGTCGGTGGCCATGTCGGTGGCCTTGTTGGTGGCCGTGTCGGTGGCCTTATCGGTGGCCGTGTCGGTGGCCTTGTCGGTGGCCTTGTCGGTGGCCGTGTCGGTGGCCGTGTCGGTGGCCTTGTCGGTGGCCGTGTCGGTGGCCGTGTCGGTGGCCGTGTCGGTGGCCTTGTTGGTGGCCGTGTCGGTGGCCTTGTCGGTGGCCGTGTCGGTGGCCGTGTCGGTGGCCGTGTCGGTGGCCGTGTCGGTGGCCTTGTCGGTGGCCTTGTCGGTGGCCGTGTCGGTGGCCTTGTCGGTGGCCGTGTCGGTGGCCGTGTCGGTGGCCTTGTCGGTGGCCGTGTCGGTGGCCTTGTCGGTGGCCTTGTCGGTGGCCTTGTCGGTGGCCTTGTCGGTGGCCGTGTCGGTGGCCTTGTCGGTGGCCTTGTCGGTGGCCTTGTCGGTGGCCGTGTCGGTGGCCGTGTCGGTGGCCTTGTCGGTGGCCGTGTCGGTGGCCTTGTCGGTGGGCCGTGTCGGTGGCCTTGTCGGTGGCCTTGTCGGTGGCCGTGTCGGTGGCCATGTCGGTGGCCTTGTTGGTGGCCGTGTCGGTGGCCTTGTCGGTGGCCGTGTCGGTGGCCTTGTTGGTGGCCGTGTCGGTGGCCTTGTCGGTGGCCGTGTCGGTGGCCTTGTCGGTGGGCCTTGTCGGTGGCCTTGTCGGTGGCCGTGTCGGTGGCCTTGTCGGTGGGCCGTGTCGGTGGCCTTGTCGGTGGGCCTTGTCGGTGGCCTTGTTGGTGGCCGTGTCGGTGGCCTTGTCGGTGGCCGTGTCGGTGGCCGTGTCGGTGGCCTTGTCGGTGGCCTTGTCGGTGGCCGTGTCGGTGGGCCTTGTCGGTGGGCCGTGTCGGTGGCCTTGTCGGTGGCCTTGTCGGTGGCCGTGTCGGTGGCCTTGTCGGTGGCGTTGTCGGTGGCCGTGTCGGTGGGCCTTGTCGGTGGGCCTTGTCGGTAGCCTTGTCGGTGGCCGTGTCGGTGGCCTTGTCGGTGGCCGTGTCGGTGGCCGTGTCGGTGGCCTTGTCGGTGGGCCTTGTCGGTGGCCTTGTCGGTGGCCGTGTCGGTGGCCTTGTTGGTGGCCTTGTCGATGGCCTTGTCAGTGGCCATGTCGGTGGCCTTGTTGGTGGCCGTGTCGGTGGCCGTGTCGGTGGCCTTGTCGGTGGCCTTGTCGGTGGCCTTGTCGGTGGCCGTGTCGGTGGCCTTGTTGGTGGCCGTGTCGGTGGCCTTGTTGGTGGCCTTGTCGGTGGCCTTGTCGATGGGCCTTGTTGGTGGCCGTGTCGGTGGCCGTGTCGGTGGGCCTTGTTGGTGGGCCTTGTTGGTGGCCGTGTCGGTGGCCGTGTCAGTGGCCTTGTTGGTGGGCCTTGTTGGTGGCCGTGTCGGTGGCCGTGTCGGTGGCCTTGTTGGTGGGCCTTGTCGGTGGCCGTGTCGGTGGCCTTGTTGGTGGGCCTTGTCGGTGGCCGTGTCGGTGGCCTTGTTGGTGGGCCTTGTCGGTGGCCGTGTCGGTGGCCTTGTTGGTGGGCCTTGTCGGTGGCCGTGTCGGTGGCCTTGTCGGTGGCCGTGTCGGTGGCCTTGTTGGTGGGCCTTGTTGGTGGCCGTGTCGGTGGCCTTGTTGGTGGGCCTTGTCGGTGGCCTTGTCGGTGGCCTTGTTGGTGGGCCTTGTCGGTGGCCTTGTCGGTGGCCTTGTTGGTGGGCCTTGTCGGTGGCCGTGTCGGTGGCCTTGTTGGTGGCCTTGTCGGTGGCCGTGTCGGTGGCCTTGTTGGTGGCCGTGTCGGTGACCTTGTTGGTGGGCCTTGTCGGTGGCCTTGTCGGTGGCCTTGTCGGTGGCCTTGTCGGTGGCCGTGTCGGTGGGCCTTGTCGGCAGGGGCCTCACCTGCAGCCGGCCAGCAGCACCTGGCGGTACATCTCCACCGAGGACTTGCCCCCGAACTGGCGGCCCACGAGGTAGGTGTTGTGCGAGGAGTTGATGTAGTAGTGCGACAGCGGCTGCTCCATGTCCTGGTAGAGCTCCAGGCGGTCGAGGAAGACGGGCGCGTTGTCGTCGCACATGAGGTAGCGGCACAGCCCGTCGTACGACAGCCGCCCTGTGGGGAGCGACGGCCGCCAGCCACCACAATGACGCGACTCGGGCACATGACCACGTGACGCGGTCACACGACTTGGGCACGTGACGTGGCCACGTGACCACGTGATGCTGTCACACGAGTTAGGCACGCGACCATCCGACGCGACCACGCGACGCGGCAAGACGATCCTAATAAGCAATCACATTTACAGGAATATAACGTTAACAGACTGTTGGAGCTGTTCGCGAGCAGCTATAAAGGCCGGCACAGCACACGAAGGGGTTGGTGGGTCTACACCACACCCGACCGCTTTTGTCTCCCCAATGCTGTTTACAAACCACAACTGATATTCATTTAAGGCTGAGTAGACCAAAGAGTGGCCCCAGAACCGGTTCAGAAATTCGTCACCGATGTTGGCCGTAAGTGGGAATCCAACTCGGGTAGCTGGGTTTGTTGCAAAGTGCTCTAACCACCGTGCTACCGCTTCCCACACACAATAAGACAAAGTAAAAGATTATCCGTATAGCCTGAACAGACTGTTAGGGCAAGTGCTGTTAGCGAGCACCTATGAAGGCCGGCAAGGCACACAAGGGGGTGGGTGGCCAGCATCACGCTAAGTTGACCTAAGGGAAGCCCAGAAGCGGTTCAGATAATCGTCACTGGTTTTGGCCACGAGCGGAAATTCAAGGTTAGAAGTGCAGTGCGCTAACCGCTAGACTACCGCCCCCCACACACACATGCCTACACGCATACACACGAATATAGTCGGACACAAACTCCCAGACCGCACATGCGCGTACACACAACCCCCCCCCCTCCCACATCGCTACAGAGCTGGCACCATAACAGGCACACTGCGGGGAACAACGAGACGCCGCCCCTCAATGAGACAATCCCCACCGTTTAAGATCGGGGAAACATTGTCGAACATAACGAGCTTGCAGGACATTCACACCGCATTAGCCGGGAATAAAAATATATTTCCGCACGGGTCACTTGGCGATTTGCGTTAAAAAAGCTTTGAGCGCTGCTCATTCAGCGGCTGCCAACTGTAACGATGGCGACCCCCCCCCCCCCCCCCCCACCCTTCAGCCCGGCAGCGGGCCTCATTACGGAGTTTATCGTCTCCGGCCCGTACACCCGCCGCAGCCAACGCCGACTCAGGAGTCATCGCGAAATCGCTTTGCTCGCCGCCGGCAGGTCGCGGCGTCTCTCCGTCCCAAACAGAGCCTCTCCCTGTGGGCTCGAGCGAGATGTGGAGGCTGGGATGACGAGATGACGGTGATGATGATGAGAGGGATGATGAGAGGGAGGAGGAGGAGCAGAGCCCCAAGACGCCGTGCCGGCCGTGCGAATGAGAGAACCGGGGGTACGAGGTTTCCACACTGCGTGTCTCTGCGGCACAGGCGTCTCAGCTGCAGCGAACATTTAAAGCACGCGAAACGTTCGCCAAAGTGCCGAGTCAACGTTCGCTCGGTGTGGGGGTCGCTCATTCTCCTGTGCTGCCCCCACAGTCTGGAAGTCCCTTCCCACCCCCAGCCGTTGGTGTTGTCGGCTCCCTGGCCCCTCGTTCATATCCCGGCTCAACGCCTCCCTCCTCCTCGGGGCCCTACGAGCGACCGCTTCTGCCTCCACAAAGATAACGTCCGGACAGCGCCGGGTCAATCCATGTCGCAATGGCTGCGCGTACAATCACACACACACACCGTGGCGTGATTGGACATGCACACCGCGAAGCGCTTTGGAGCAGCCACCACTGGCGTCAGCGTGCCTGATCGTACCCCCGGTCCGAGCGTACCCCCGGTCCGATCGTACCCCCGGTCCGATCGTACCCCCGGTCCGATCGTACCCCCGGTCCGATCGTACCCCCGGTCCGAGCGTACCCTGGTCGCGGAGCTGAGCCTCAGGCTCGTGCGCGTCGATGAGCTGCTGCGCCTGGCGTGCGTCGTAGAACGGGTAGAGGATCTCGTTGAGCCGGGGGTCGCGCTGGTGCTGCAGAGCACACACACACACAGAGGTATTGCACACGTACGCACGTACGCACGTACGGACAGGTGTATTCAGGTGTGCACATACACAAAGACAAAGAACCCCCACTGTAGCCTGAACAAACTTTAGGGGCAAGTGCTGTTAGCGAGTAGCACCTATGAAGGGCGACACTGTGGCACACGAGGGGGTGGGTGGCCAGCACCACGCCCAGTCGCCTTTGTCTTCCCAGTGACGATGTTTACTACACACCACACCAGGTACTCATTTGAGGCCAATTCGACATAGAAGAAACTCGTGTCGCCGGATTCATAGCGCAGCACGCTAACCGCTGCACCTCCACTCCCCAAGTGCACACACACAGGCTGGCGACTGTTATGACGACCACGATGCCGACGACGCCACGACACCACGACGCGCACGAGCACAAGGATCAGCGCTGGGGCTGCTGCTGCTGCATGCGGGACGACACGAAGCGACGAGGGACATGGGGGACACGGCGTGACCAGGTACGTGGGAACGACGGGGGAGGAACGGGGAGACGAAGCTCTAAGAGGAGACGTAGACGGGGGCCACTGGACGGGGTTGCAGGTCAGGGTGACGGGGAGTCCGAGGAGGAGCACGTCTGGCGGAAGCAGCGATGGCGTGAAATGACGAGGAGGTCCTGGCGCGAGGAGTTGTCCCCCGGGAGCGCCGCGCCCCCACGGTTCCCTCCCCACCAACCACGTGCGAGCTCGGCCCTGCCACCCGCGCCCCGTTTGTGTGCGTGTGGTGGTGTTCGGGCCAGATCGGTCAAATCCTTTCACGACAAACAAATTTTGTCCCGGCAGAGGCCGTCCCACGCGGCCCCCCTCGCCGCCAAACACCGCACAGCGAGCCGGCGGCACGGCGGGGAGGGCGGTGGGGGAGGGGGTGCCACTCGATACTCTGCGGCAACTCCGCTGCGCGTACGCCCGGGCCTTGGGTGGGCCTCGGGGGGGGGGGGGGGCTCGGAGGGGGCCGCGGGGCCCCGTGCCAGCACCTCGGGGGCGGGGGCGGAGGAGCAGTGATGGGGGGGGGGGACGTCGAGCCTTACTTCGTTGAGGAAGGCGACTATCTGCTCTACAGTTAAGTAATCCGTCTCCCCTCCGTTGCTGCGAACGAAACCAACCGACAAACACGCACACGCGCACGCATGCACGCGCGAGCTGTTAGCTTGTCACCGTGGTGATTGTCTCTTTTCGGCCCCCCCCCCAACCGGCGACAAAACCGAGCACGGCGACCGCCGGAGCGCCGACGGCGAGCAGAGAGACCGCCGCTCCGCACACTCGGCGGCTCGGGGACGTGCCGCGGTCCCGACGCTGTTCTGCGCAAGAGCAGCAGCGGCGGCGGCGGCAGCGGTAGCAGCGGTAAGTGGTGACCAGAAGAAAATGTCCCCGGTGAGAGAGATTCTGTGCATTGGCGAAAAGCGAGAAGAGGCTTGCCCAGCTGTCGACGGTGATGCGGCTGCTGCACCGAATGTGCCCGCTTCCTGTGTGAATTCACAACGCGGAGCGACGGAGCGGTGGTTGACGCACTGCACTGCTGTGAACCTGGCGGCATGGGTTCAGTTCCTGGGCAGGGCTATCCATCAGCGGTATCACAACCTCTCCCGCTCGCTCTACCGCTGAGCCACCCGCCCGGATTTCCCGGTGCTGAGAGATACGGGGACGACAGTTCGGAAAAAGTTCCGCTCGACTGGAGCCGCATCAAAAAAATTCTGGCAATTTATTTTTTTTAAAGAACGTACGCTGAGCCAATGGCCCTGGCGTCACGTGCCGGATAATATCGGCGGCGAATTAAAGCGGTGAACGCGACGCCTCCGGAAGCTGTGCTCGCCGGAGCGTCACGACAGAAGCGGGGACGCCGCTCAGTCACGTTCCCCGTTTGAGATGATGGCCGGCCAATCGGCGTTGGCGCTGGCGGGGCGGGAGGGAGGGCATCGTTCAGAGCAATCGCTGTGGCTCGGCACCACTCTCAGTCGCCTCGATTACGGAACCGCTCGGGCCTCTCAACTGCATCTCAATTCATATGGCGACCGAACACGTGTTTATGGGCTAACCCACAGACGAGGCTTTGACGACACTCTGGTTCGGAGTTCCTCACGAGACCACGCTCGTCTTGATGCCAACTCTAGACCGTTCTGTTGACTGCGACTCTGTGCATCCTCCAATGCTAAACCGTACACGGACGAGGATCGTCGTCACTTCTCTGCCCATCCCACCGAGCATTCACGTTTCCCTGTAAGGGGGGGGGGGGGACGCTGACACCGACGAGCGAGGCCGCGTCTCCACCGAGCGCGACCGGAAAGAGCGAGCGACCCACCGCTCCCTCGTTCCCTCCCCTCCTTCCCCTCCCTCCGCACCAGCCTGGCCACCGCAGGGGCGTCAATCGGTAGACAACAGGCAATTATAAACGACGCCGGCACATGACGATAATTACACGATGGCCGAGCCTGACCTCCGCGCGAGGCGAGCGTCCATCTCCCTAGGTTCGCCGCAGAGGTCAACAGTGACGCAAACGCAGGGAGAGCTGCAGTGTACAACCCCACCTCCATTTAGCATGGTTAGCTCCGTACGGTGTGAAAGACATTCAACTTAGAGACACTCACACAGAGACACACACACTAACATAGAGACGCACACTAACAGAGACACACACTCACACAGAGACACACAGACTCACATAGAAACACACACACTAACAGAGACACACACTCACACAGAGACACACACACTAACAGAGACACACACTCACACAGAAACCCACACACTCACACAGAGACACACACTCACACAGAAACCCACATACACTAACAGAGAGACTCACACAATAACACAGAGACACATACACACTAACACAGAGACACACACACCATCTCCCTCGGTTCGCTGCGTAGAGGTCAACAGTGACGCAAACGCAGGGAGAGCAGCAGTGTGCAACCCCACCTCCATTTAGCATGGTTAGCTCCGTACGTTGTGAAAGACATTCAACTTAGAGACACTCACACAGAGACACACACTCACACAGAGAGACACACACTAACAGAGACACACACACTCACACAGATATACACATACTCACGTAGAAACACACACTAACACAGAGACACACACTAACACAGAGACACACACACTCCCACAGAGACACACACACTAACAGAGACACACACTCACACATAGACACACACACTCACACAGAGAAAAACACACTAACACAGAGACACACACACTCACGTAGAAACACACACACTAACACAGAGACACACACACTAACACAGAGACACACACTCACACAGAGACACACACACTCACACAGACACACACACTCACGTAGAAACATACACACTAACAGATACACAAACACACACTAACACAGAGACACACACACTAACACAGAGACACACACACTCCCACAGAGACACACACACTCCCACAGAGACACACACACTCCCACAGAGACACACACACTAACAGAGACACACACACTCACACATAGACACACACACTCACACAGAGATACACACACTAACACAGAGACACACACACTCACACAGACACACACACACACTCACGTAGAAACATACACACTAACAGATACACAAACACACACTAACATAGAGACACACACTCACACAGAGATACACACTCACACAGAAACCCACACACGAACACAGAGACACCCACATACTAACAGAGAGACTCACACAATAACACAAAGACACACACACACTAACACAGAGACACACACACCATCTCCCTCGGTTCGCCGAGATGTCAACATTGACGCAAACGCAGGGAAATGCAAATCAACTTATACATTTTTTGACATGCGTTTTTCTGGATTTTGTTGTTGTTATTCTGTCTCTCACTGTCAAATAAACCTACCATTAAAATGATAGACTGATCATTTCTTTGTCAGTGGGCAAAGTACAAAATCAGCAGGGGATCAAATACATTTTCCCTCACTGTATTCACATACACTAACACAGAAACACACTAGCACAGAGAAACCCACACATTCACGCGGTTTTGGCAAGGCGTTGTCTAAAGGGACCCCCACTCCAGACACCCGGGGGGGAGGGGGGGGCGGTGGAGGTGCCCGAGACGAACTCACAGCTTCCTGAAGAGCTCCTCGATCTCTGTGCGTGGGCAGATCTTGTGGTAGAGCTCGTAGAACTTCTCAAAGGTGAACGATGCCAGTTCCAGCTCCTCGTTCTGAAACGACGATGGCGGCGGTGATGGCAAGGTGGCCGACAGGGCGCATGGCGGGAGCTTTTTGTGCGTCATCATCGTCATCATCGTTGTCATCGTTGTCATCCTCATCATCGTTGTCATCATCGTCATAATCGTTGTCATCATCGTTGTCATCGTTGTCATCATCGTCGTCATCATCGTCATCATCGTTGTCATCGTTGTCATCGTCATCATCGTCGTCATCATCGTCATCATCATCATCGTCATCATCGTTGTCATCGTCGTCATCATTGTCATCATCGTCATCATCGTTGTTGTCATCGTTGTCATCGTCATCATCGTCATCATTGTGGTCATCATTGTTGTCATCGTCGTCGTCATCGTTGTCATCATCATCGTCGTCGTCGTCATCATCATCGTGGCAGCGTGTAGAGGCCCAGTTGGGCTGCGGTCTACCGTGGACCAAGCCCCATTGACGCGTCTGGCTATTGCGTCAAGAGAGCAGCAATGAAGTTGGGAGATCCACAACCCCCTTTTGAAGAAACCCTAGACCAGGGGTCGGCAACCTACGGCTCCAGAGCCGCATGCGGCTCTTTACGGGCTGCTTCTTGACGATATGTACGTATGTACAGTATGTACTCAGATGCATTGCGGCTCTTAAAATACTGAATTTTGTACCGAATTGGAAAGAAATGGCTCTTCTTGTTATTTTGGTTGCCGACCCCTGCCCTAGACCGATGGGGCCCGCCATGCAAGCAAGACGCACGACAACTTGATTGTAGAGCATCGTTGCCTTACATCTTTTATCGTATTAACACTGTTATTGTCAGACTGTCTTGCTCTAAATCCCAATACACGGTGCAGCAAACCAAAATAATATATACAGTAGAGTTATAGCTTCACGTATTATTATTGTATACGGGGTTAAAAACATCGCGTAGCTATATCAGTTGAAAGTGAGTGGGGAGAAAAGAGGGAGGCCCAAGTCGTTTATTTTACAATATGTAGTTATAGCCGACATTATTGTATAATAATAGATGTGTGTGTATATGTTTACTGATATATATAGTAGAGTTATAGGCTACATATTATTTTTCGATTTAAAGCTTTCATAACCGCAGGGATTCATCTTCTTGGTTCTTTCGGTAAAGTCACGTAGAAGGGAAATAATAAACGAATAAAAATCAAACATAATAAAATACAATTCTCACGACGTTTCGGCCACAACACAAGGAGCACGGCTGCTTGCGAAACGCCGAACTAATCCTTTGCTGCGCCACCTCCCAAGCAAGCTGCAGCTAAGTCGGCGACCGGAGAGAGGGGGAGGGACGACGCTCACTCGCGACCCGGCAATGGCGACGGTTTCTGAAGCTCAGCACCACGGAGCTCACGTGCCACGGAGCTCACGTGCCACGGCGCTCGCGGTTTCGCACGGCGGGCGCCAAATAACGACGCACATCCGCAACTCGAGCGCGCTGCACGAGAGCGGTGGTGCCCGTTGGGTTTTTATTTTCACGGAAAGGGGAGCGGCCACGGTCTAGCGGAGGAGAGGGAGGAATTGAGCCTGGGCTTGAACAGAGGGCAGGGCAAGGGAAGGGAGTTCCAGACTGTGGGGGCAGCAGAGGAGAACGAGCGACCTGCCGCTGAGCGAAGGGTGGAGTTGGCCCCAGCGTCTGTCCCTGGACCCGCTTACCTTGCCACTGGGCAGGCCCAGCTCCTTCAGGGCCTGGAAGATCACCTTCTCCGTCTTCCCAGATGCAAACGTCCTCGTGATGCTGTAGGGAGGAGGAGGGGGAGGGAGGGAAGGAGGAGAAAGGAGGAGGAGGGAAGAGGAGAGAGGGAAGGAGAAAGGATGAGGGAGGGAGGGAGGGAGGAAGGGAGGGAGGGAGGAGAATGAGGATGAAGGTCAGAGCACAGCTCAGCTCTCAGGGGCAAGGGAGGGACCTGGGGCATTGCCGGTGGCACCCCCAACCCAGTGCCTGCGGTCACCTCACCTTCTCACGGGGATGTGACCGCTGGGGTTCATCAGGAAGCAGAGCTTCATCCAGCTGAGAAACCGGGAGAGAGAGGGGGGGCGGCACACGGCGAGTGTGTGAGGGATTGGTTCAGCACTCACATGGAAAGGCATGCATCGTCGCCATTGTCATCGTCGTCGTCTTCATCATTGTTATCATCATTATCATCATCGTCGCCATTGTCATCATCATCCTCGTCATCGTCGCCATTGTCATCATCATCATGATCATCATCATCTCATTGTCAACGTCACTCTCAAAGTCGTCATCATTGTCATCATCGTCGCAAGCCCAGCGTCGAAGGCAGTCACTTAGCCCGAGCACGTTCGATGGGAGTGAAAAGCCCACGAATGACTCCTCGGCTCTTCAACATGTCTGAGACGCAGCTCCTGGCCGTGCTTCAGGGGCTTCCCCTCATTGTGACGCAGCGCGGCGACAAAAACCCCCCACGGCCGCGACGCCCAGCCCAGGCCGTGAGCCGGGGCACGGGCCCGGTCGCTGTATGCCATCTGCGTGTGGGTCTCTGTGCGATGAGTCAACACATAATATCAATGTACCTCCTGATGAAAATAATAGAGACGACAATGGCAACAACACAGGGATTCACTGTGTGGCTATGCCGTGCATGCCCGAGTGTGACCGTGCGTGGCCGCGTGTTGCTAGGCCGTGCATGGCCAGGCTGCGTGTGGCCGCGTGTGGCCGCGCGTGGCCGTGCGAGGTGCGTGGGCGGCGCCGCTCACTGCTTGCGGAGGCAGGTCATGGGCGAGACGTTGTTGGCACGGAAGTTGTGGATGATCGACTTCAGGCTCTCGAGCCATTTCTGTGCACAGGACAACGCAAATGACGCAACGCCAAGTGGAGTTACAGTCACGTCTACAGGCGACCGCTGCATGGGAGCAGAGGGAGGGGGGGGAGAGAGGAGTGGGTGGGACGTGAGACCCACGGGGCAATGGAGGGGGGGCGTCTCCCTCTAGCAGGGCAGCAGCGCCGCGGGCGGTCACCTTGGCCGTGTCGGCGCTCTCCGCCACCAGGTACATGTTGCTCAGGTTGACGAAGTCGGCGCCGCTGCAGATGCAGAGGATGCGGCCCTCCAGCTCCACCTCGGGGTGGCCGGCGGCCGCCACCGCCGCACCCGCCGCCTCCAGGGCGGAGAGCAGCTTCGGGTCCTGCGGAGATTGGGGGAGGAGGTGGAGGGAGGTGGTCGCTGTAAGAAGTGCGTGGGGGGTGGTCCCTGTAGAAAGTGGTCGTTGTAGGAAGTGCGTGGGGGGTGGTCCCTGTAGAAAGTGGTCGTTGTAGGAAGTGCGTGTGGGGTGGTCCCTGTAGAAAGTGGTCGTTGTAAAAAGTGCGTGGGGGGTGGTCCCTGTAGGAAGTGGTCGTTGTAGGAAGTGCGTGGGGGGTGGTCCCTGTAGAATGTGCGTGGGGGGTGGTCGCTGTAGGAAGTGCGTGTGGGGGTGACGGGCTCACGCTGTGGGCCTCCTGCCACAGCGTGAGCTCACGAGGAGGCCGCCCTCCCGTGCAGAGCGGCAGCAGCAAGCAAGCAAGGCTCACCTTGGGCACGGCTCCATAGCGAACGTTGCTGATGAGGGAGATTTCAAGCACCTGCCCCTCCTACCGGTGACGATGGCCACGGGGAGATGGGCATGGGGAGACAGACACGGGAAGATAGACACGGGAAGACAGACACGGGGAGAAAGACACGGGGAGACAGGCACGGGGAGACAAGCACTTTTGAGAATATCATTTTAATCCGAGCGCATCACACGTTCTCATTACCGCCGCAATAGTAACTTGCACGGCCGATGACAGGATCACGGGCGTGATCCTGGCGCTATTGCCCACAAACACGCCACCAACTTGCATTGACCAGCGTGGAGATGTACGGTCAAATAACCCCCCCCCCCCCGCGCGAGGACCCAGACGGAGTGGGAAGGCCTTCGCCCAGCAGTGGATCCTGAACACGGTCGATCGAATCGAACGCCGCACGACGGAATCGTCCAATTCAGCGAGATCAAGCTCCGTTATCCACTCGCTCACTCATCCCGCCGTCGCTCCGTTCCCATTGTCCTTCACCTTTCCTTCACTCTTCCAGCGCAGGAAGAAGCCGAACTCGTCCACCTGGAAGAGGCAGCTCAGCTCCACGCCGCCGGATTCCTGCGCGACAGACAGAGTTCGATGAGAGAGAGGGGAGAGGTAGGGGAGTGTGTGGAGGGGAGTCGAATGAGGTGAGATAGGGGGGGAGGTAGCGGAGTGCGTGGAGGGGAGTAGAGGGAGATGAGAGGGGAGAAGAGGGAGGCAGGAGAGAGTCAATGCAGGATCTTTAAGGCACCGAGTGCAATCATCCTCTGGGCTTGGTGGCCGATGTAGGATGCGGGGAGGCGACGGACAAGGGAGCCAGGGAGGGGGGGCGAGGGATGGGGGGGGGCGAGGGACGGGGGGGTAGGGTGCACCTCGTCGTAGCGGTCGAACACGGCTCCCTGCTGCAGGAAGTGGGGGAGCTCCTTCTGCCACTTGAACTCGTATGTCTTGGGCATGGCGCATCTAGTCCTGCACACCTTCGCAAACAAACAAAAGAGAAAGGTCCACCGCGTAGCCTTGAACACGCTGTCGGGCCAAGTGCTGTTAACGATCGCCTACCAAGGATGACACGAGCGGGTGGGTCGCCAGCACCACGCCCGGCCGATTTTGTCTCCCCAGTGGCGATGTTCACACCCCGCACCAGGTACTAATACGAGGCGGAGCCGACCTAAGGGAGGCCCATGACCGGTTCAGATAATCACCACACGGGGTAACTGCCCAGAATAACAACCTATGGTGGTGACCACCAGGCTAACTATACTAGTTACTAGACTAGTTCCTACGTGACTGGTGTAGTTAGCCGGGTGGTGACCACCAGGCTAACTACACTAGTTACAACGTAACTGCTACTATGGACTGGACCACAGCTTGGGTCCAGGTCCACGTGTTGAAGACTCTGTAGGACGTAAAACGTAGACGAAGGCTTCTTCAGGATGAACAACAGCCCCGGTCCCTCTGGGGGACCCGGCTTTTATCCTCTGCGGCGTGGCTGGCTACGCCCTTGGCCACGTCCACCTTCCAGAATCCTCGAGCAGGATCTGGACCCCGACCACGTGACCACCCCTAGCCCCCACTTGGGGCTCCTTTGTAGACTTAACTGGTCACGTGTCCTCTCGGGTCAACCAGAGTGCCATTCCTATGGCCGGCACTCCCACACCCAATCCTGTAGGGCTGGCACTGCACGCCAAGCGTGGTGCCATCCAGCGCTATCAACCAACACTCACCGAGCCCCTTTAGGGCCGGTACTACACCCACATCATAGCGGTGTCCACGATGTTGTTACATCGCACGCCGTGCAGTTATATCCCGTGATGTCACTACACATATATACGCATGCATGCACACCTAAACAGACAATATACACCACGAACTCAACATGCACTCCCACAGACATGCGCGCGCACAAACACACACACACGCATCCGCGCACGCTTGCTCTCACACGTCCGCGTGAACATTTGTCGCCAAAAAAAAATCACGGCGCGTCCAGCACACCGCGCTGCGCTTCCCAGCACAGGCGCGAATCTCCCGCCGAGGCTGGAATTGCCGCTACTCCCAACAAATGGAGGCGGCGGCCAAACTAAAGCGCCGAAAACGCGGCCCCCGCTCCCCGCTGTCTCCGCCAAACGGATATTTACACCTGGCGGGGAACTCGCGCAGTTGTGGCCTCCGTGCGGCATGGCACAGTGGCGCTGTGGGGATGGGGCGAAAGGGTTTGGGCGGTGGGGTTGGGGCGGAGGGGTGGGGTTGGTGTTGTGTCGCAACGGCGCTGGGACTGCAAACGCCGAGATGCAACACAAACGGACAGGAGGACATTTTGCGTGCAATTGCGGCGATGATGATGATGATGATGATTGTCGTTGTAGTTACACAGCTGACAAAAGCCGCGACGTTTAACGTCCTCCGGGAAGTCCGAGAGATCTCTCCCCAGGACGGCAGCAGCTGCCGCAATCGACGAGATGACCGACCCTGGGACAAACCAGGACGGGTCGCGACCCAACTGCTGGCCTGCCCACGTGGTGCCACCACTCAAGCGGGGGACAGCGGCTCGGGAACACAACCTCCTGAACATCGTCACTCTCATCACTGTCTCACCCGGCCACCGCGGCATCTCTCCGCCACCCCCTCTTCATCTCTCCCCTCCACCCCCCCTCCCCCGTTATCTCCCCCTGCAGGAGGCCGTGTCTCCGCGCGAGCCACTCTCTCTCATCTCGCTCAGTCAATTTCGCATTGCAACGGAACAGGAACGGTAACAAGGGCCGAAAAAAAGAAACCCATCACTACCTCGGCAGCCAACACCCGACCGAGTGGAACCATGCCGCTGGGCTCGGTGCCACCGCACAGCCGACTCGGCCGCGACCCACGGCCGTGGCGGTCAATCCCTGCGGGAGCTGCCGAACCACGGCCCCTCTCTCTCTCTCCCGGGCGCGGAGCGAGCGGTGGAGCGAGCATCGAGTGCACCGCAACCCCCTGCGGATCTTTCATGTCGGATCAAAGTATCCGCGGGCGGCATGCGGCGGAGGACGCGGCACAGTGGAGCGAAGCCGCGTGGGGAGGGCACTGGCGGCGACGACGATGACACCGTCACCTGCCGTGCCGTGTGCCGGCCGGCGCGGTGTGGGGGCCCCGTGGTCACCGATCGTGACTTCCACAGTGGCAAGATGTTAATTCCCTCGCCAGGTATGCAGGTGGTCGTGGGTTCGATCCCGACCCTACACCTGCTGTATATTTGGAGTTTGCGACTCTCTCTCACCGTGGTTCGCGTGGATTTTCCTCTGGTTTTTCCCTCCACATCACGCATTTAGAGTATTTGGCTGCTTTTAATTTCCACGTGATGATGAGAAGCCACTTCGTTGAGCTGCCATTTGTGATAGCCAGGTTGCTTCTGAAAAAGAGCTCAACAGCTCAGTGGGCCTTACCTGTGGGAAAATGACTTCCCCCTCTCGTGCATTGACCGGGGGGGCAGGGGGAGTCAATTGATCAATTGAGGAAGGGATCTCAGGGGTAGCTCTGGGATTTCCGCTTCTGCGGGCGGTTCTCCACCATTCTCCGAGAGTTCCGGGTGGGGGGGGGGGAGAAAAAGTGAATCTCGAATGTTCGCCACCACGCCAACATCGGCGATGCGGTAAACATCGGAGGGGGGGGTGGGGAGAACCGCCAAAAAACGTCGCCAAACAAAAGTTGGGCCGCCGTCAGCAGAGGAGGGAGGTGGGGGCCGCGGGCGTGACGACGGCCGGCGGGCAGTGGCCCTCACGAGCCCAGCCGCAGACTCGACCGGTCGACACGACGGTGGAGGAAGCCGGCGCCCGCCCGCACGCGCAACGCGGAGGGAGCGGAAGCGCCACTGTCCTAGAGCGGGGACGTCAGTCTCAAATCACGCGTGGAGGGAGGGGCCTGGCACAAAATCTGTTTGGACAGCGGGGGGGAGGGGGGTGCAATGAGAGCAGCACACCGTCTAACCCCGAGCGCGCCGGCACCACCGACGAAGATCCCCCGAAGAGCACTGAACAGACTGTTGGGGCAAGCGCTGTTGCCGAGAAGCGATGAAGGCCGGCACTGTGGCACACGAGGAGGTGTTTGGGTCGGCACCGCACCCGGCCGCGTTTGTCTCCCCCAGCGGTGATGTTTGACACGTCGCGTGAGGTACACATTTAGGGCCGAGTCGACGTTAGGGGAGGCCCAGGACCGGGTTCAGATAATCGTCACCGGTGTTGGCTCTGAGCGGGAATCGAACCTCAGACTGCCGAGTTCGTAGTGCAGGGCCACACAACTACCACCAACGTAACCAACACCAACCGCCATTCGCCACTAAGTGGTGGTAACGTCACCACGACGCTTGTGCCAGGCCAAGTGCACCTTGAGGCCACGTGAAGTGTCGAACGCCCACTGGCAGGAGGTCACGGGGCAGACCCAGGTGCCACGGGTCGACTAACAACACCACTACTACCACCAACACCACTACTACCACCAACACCACCGACGACACCACTGCATGAGCGCAACCGTCTTCATCGACCGTCTACAATGCATCAGGGAATCCACCACCTCCACCGGTCCATCCTACCACCACCGTCCACCGCTACCAAAAACACGACCAGCACCGCCGTCGCCGCCACCACCGCACCGCTGCGTGGTGCTCGCCGCCCCCCTCCCCGGTGCTCGTCCGTGGCGGCCCTCAGGACGAGGGGATGTACGTCGCCCCCTAGCCCCGTCTCGTGCCGTTCCGCGCACGCGCATTCGGACATCGTTGCGAACACAATTGCGCACGATTGCGAACACAATTGCACGCGATTGCAAAAAAAAAGGCGATCGAGTGCAATTGTGCCCGTCGAGCCGAATGACAGCCAGGGTGGCGGCTATTACTGCACGTGGCCTGTGACCCAGCAGTGTGGAGGATGCGGCAAGGGTTGGTGGATCACAAAGACAAAGATCTCCCGTATAGCCTATAGCAGACTGTTGGGGCAAGTGCTGTCAGCGAGGCCGGCACAGCACACGAGGGGGTAGGTGGCCAGCATCACGCCGGGCTGCCTTTGTTTCCCCAGTGGTGATGTTTACTACACACCGCACCAGGTACTGATTTGAAGTCGAGTCGACCTAGGGGAGGCCCAGGACCGGTTCAGACAATGGTCACTGGTGTTGGCCGAACTGGTGACGGTGGGTTTGCCGTGCAGCGTCGCGCTATCTGCAACACCACCACACTAACTCGTGAAACTCCCTCCCTTAACCGTGGCCGTCGATGTCGCCATCTCCTCCCGGCTCATGGGCCAGGGGTTGCTATGGCAGTACAGCAGGTGAGTTAATATCCATCTGTAGTTCATCTGTATAGGGGCCAAGAGTTATCCCCCCCGCCACCACCTCCCCACACCGTTGTATGCGCGGGGTTCTTCTCTGGGTTCTCCTGTTGCCTCCCTCGTGGATGAATGCTCATTCACGGAGTCGACCAAGCATCACAATACCGGACCACGTGGTCCCAATACCGGACCACGGAATTGCTTAGTGGCGCTGGTTCCGGCCGCCTTCCCCCGTCTGTCCATGTTGTTCCCACGCCTCTGGATCCCCCCTCTATCGCCTCCGAGAGAGCGGACTCGAACCAACGCACGCTGCATCACCAACTCCACACCAGCCGTCGGCGCTGGTCGGTACGACGGCGTCCCGGTCCCGCGTGCGTCTTCTCATCCGCACGCTCCGTCTCCCACGGCGATAATCCCACCCCCTGCCCCCACCCAGGGTGTGCGCGTGCTCCCCACGCTCATCCCCGTGCACCTTTCCGGCGCCTGCCGCGCCGCCTCTACCGGTGCGAGAGAAGCACGACTCCGGTAACCTGCTCCGCGGGATGAACCGCGACCGCCGATTGTCCCAGACAATGGCTTCGTGTGGAGTCGACGCAGGGGGGTGGATGCCGCCCCAACGCGACTTCCGACGAGAAGTCGCGGCTTATCGACCGCAGGCGCGCGGGAACAACCGCGGCCAGGCCTTC